TTTGGTATTAATTCCCCAGACAACTTTCACTTGCATTTTTTTCTCACTAGTCCCATTTGTGAGATAAAAACGCTGGTTGCTGATCATTTTAACAGCCAATGAAAATGACAATAGTCATTACCAATTTGGAACAGAAGTGTTAATTCTGTACCAAAGATGCACTGAGCAGTTCACATCTCTGAGCTATTTCTGCCTGCCTGCAGGCTCAGGAGGACAGCTCTGCATAAGTTGCACTTGATTAGCAGTAGGAAGGCCTTTCTCTGACACCAAAGGCTAGAATCTGAGGCTGGGGTTGTTAAAGGCTCCCAGGAGAACTGTGACCAAATGCCATCTGTGTCACTGTGATGGTGGCAGTGTTCAGTGCTGTCTGCTTCAGAAGTGAAATTGCAGTGAAGTCAGCAACTGGGCCAAAGTAAATCCTAGAGCTGTGGAACAAACAGGAGGTGGCTGTCATGCTCCCACAACTTATTCCCATTCCCCATGGTGGCTCCTCCTTTGCTTTTCTCTCCACACATGCCAATGTGGTTTCTGAGTGTAACTAGCCTGGGTTTATCAGGATCACCATTGCTGCGTACTGGACAGTACCACCCTACTTGCACTACTGGTCCTCTGTGGAGAGGATGACAGGACCCCTGAGCGGAGTTCTTGCCACAAGGTAGGAGCCTTGTTCCCCTTCTCTCTCAGGTCAGTCCTATTATCTGACAAACTTGGAGCTCATGTACAGTCCTGCTGAGGACCCAAAATGTCATGGAGGATTTCAGGTAGAAAGCTTAAGAAGTGAGTATTTCAGCTGTACTTTCCCCTGTTTGCTGACAGAGGCTGGCCGAGTTCCTTCTCGGGACGGTTCCTGTCTATGCAGTTCTGGGTAAAGAGCTGATGGAGCTGTTGGCTGCTCTTTCCTCTCTCCATCAATGGGTGGTGGTAATGAGCTGTGTTTCAGGCTGCCAGACACACGCTGCATTGACTGGTAGCTGTGATCTCTGCTACCAGCTCCACAGAGTCCCAGGTACCCTGGTGACTGACACTCGTAAAACAGAGACAAGGTGGGTGAGGCAGGTAATCTCTTACTGAACCAACTTTTGCTGCCTTTCAAGCTCCACAGAGCTCTTCAGGTCACAAGAAGCTGGAAAGCTTGTCTTCTCCACCATCAGAACTTGGTCCAGTAAAAGATATTACCTCACACATCTTGTCTGACTCCTCCTGGGACCAGCAGAGCTATAACACCACTCCTGAACTGGATAAGTTACATTCTGTTCCAGTGGATGGATTGGTGCATGCAGCCTGAAAGAAAATTGTACAGGGACTCTTGGGCTAGACCTGGTCAGAAACTGTTAAATATTTCCCACAAACCTTGGAAAGGAACAAATGAATGTTTCTGTGAATTCGCTGGGTTTTTCTTTAAAAACACAAAATATTTCCCTAAACTTTTCAGTTTTCAAGAGCTGAATTTTTTGGCTCTCCTACAATTTTGTTTAATGAAACCCCTTCCACTGTCGATCAGCGTTCTCTCCTGCCTTGTTTGAGCACTGGGCCACTTGCAGTTTGGTGCTTGGTCTATCGTGAGGTTACTGGACCAGATCCGCCAAGATGTTCAGACTCCTAATTCCCAGTGAGTTCAGGGCCTAAATGCCTTTTGAGGATACAGACGACTGACCCATTCCGATTCTTCATTCCTCTGCCAAACCCAGGGTAGGAGAAATCTGCTGTTTTGAGAGTGAAATGCAAGCAAGAAAAACCTTGTCCCAAGTCACAACCCCTATTATGTTCCCTTTCCTAGATCACTGAGGCATTGTGAGCTCACTTGAAAAGTACAGTTAATCCCAGGTAACAGGCTGGGAAATGGATAAAACATTAAGGCTAATGGGAGAAATGGACATTGTATCTCTAGTAACTTATCAGTATCTTAAGATGCAAGGGAGGGGGGGCCCTTTCTCTGGGGGGGGGGGGGGGGGGGACACCAACCATAATTCTCCCTGTGGGAAAAGGAGGGGGAGTGTCCAAACCCCCAGCGGGCTGGGGGGGGGGGCCCCCCCCCCTTTGACCCGAACCCCCCCCCCCCTCGTGTGGGGGCCCCCCCACCCCCCGGCGGCGGGGGGGGGGGGCCCCCCCCCCCCCCCCAAGGAGGGGGGGGCCCCCCCCCCCGGGGGGGGGAAGGGGGTGCTGACACAGCGCATGCAGCAGGGGAGCTGTAGCAATAAGCAGGCTGTGGAGGGGAGACCCTGGAGGACTCGGCAGCACAAATGGCATTTGTAGCCACGGCTGGTGGTGCTTCTTGTGGGGGGAGAGGCAGAGAAGTGATGGGCTTTCTCTGTGCTAATTCAGGAAGGAGCAGTGAGTGCCCAGTAAAAAGGGCTCTTCGCTGAATTTCCCAAAATCATGTCTCTGAAAAACCAGCTGTGTCCTGTCTCCAGAGGACACTGCTTAATACTTTTGAAGATTTAGGGTTCATGAAAAGGGGTTCCCTGACACCAGGCAGAGCCCAGAGCTCTGACTGTGTGGTGGGGTGGGGCTGGGGACCCAGGTGGAGCCTCCAGGGCCAAGGCGAAAGCAGTGATCCTTTGCAGACAGGGGAAATGGGACACCCGCTTTTATGGTTCCCCATAGTGAGGGCAGGAGGTGCCCCAGGAGTACTGGAGGCTGCAGGATGGAGGTACCGATGGTTCAGCGACAGAAGGAGCAGCTGTCTGCAGGACATCAGGCCACGGGGGAGGAGAGGGGTGCCCTGATCCTGACAGTCAGGAGCTTGAGGCAGAGTTGGAGACACTGTGTGTGCAGAGACCTCGAAACCCTGCAGAAGATGAAACTCTTTCGACTGACTGAGACGAAGCCTGGCGTTAAGGAGTGTTAATGAAGGGGGCAAGGCAGCACCTGGGCCTCTAAAGGGCAGAGGGCATTCCCGAGAGGGAGGGGCTGTGAGGAGGAACTGGCTGAGGGAGACTGAGGTAGGAAATGGCAGGAAGCATCTGCCAGAGTCCCCGGAGATGCAGAAAGTGAGCTGAGAAACTGTCTTGACTAGTTCCAGTTTCGGACTAAAGTGCATCAGAGCCTGGGTGTGGCAGTGAGCCCTTGTCAAGCTGGGGAGAAGCCAGGCTCTGTGACGGTTCCCATTGCGTCCTTTGGAAGGAGTCTCCAGTAGCCCTAGGCTGTGACAGATGCTGCCTTCAATCCAATCTCCCCTCCCCTGCCGGGGTCTCCATCACTCTCCCCACTCATGTCTGTCCCTGGCCACATGCTGAGCTCCTGCATCTCCCTCTGAAACCAATATGGAGCTGCAGGTGCCCAGCCTCTGTGTCTGCCCTGTGCCTTTGTGCCGTCAGCCCCTCTCTGCTTTGTGTCTTGGGGTGTTTGACCCTGGCTAATGCTTGTGGCTGCAGTCTGTGTGGAAGCCAGATGCACAGTTTAAGCTCTGCCCTTTGTGTTGTCGGTGGGGCTGTGATCACCAACGCTGCAGAATGTGTCACCTGTTGGGCTCTGGGGTTTTTACTGGTGGTTTTATAGCCCTGCAGCCAGCTGCTCCTCGGCAGGGCGTGTACAGACCATGGTGCCGTGATCGGGCCAGGCTGAGACGGGCCGGAACCATCACTCCACCGCTCCATGATCTCTGGGGGGTTACAATAAAATAAAACCCTGATCTGACCTTCCTCCCTCCACCCTAGGTTTGGGTTCATTTTGCCAAATAGAAGCTGAAAAGCAAGACCACGGCCTGCCCCCATTTTGCTCTTCTCTACTGTTAGGTCCCCTCCTGCACTGCAGTTTGTGAGCCACGCCTACAATTCCCATGGTATCTTAGCACAGGATATCGCATTCTCCCCCCAACCGCCTTCCCAAGGTACGAGTCACTCCTATTGACTTCACCTTGGAGACGCTGTCTCCCTGCAGGGAGAATCGGGCCCCAATGGCTTCCAGGAGACGGGTTTATAGAGGTTTCAGGCCCCACAACAACGTTTTGGGCATTGCCCTGTGGTTTGGGTTCAGCGTGCAGCTGCGAAGCTGATTGGGGGGGCAGGAAGTGGATGCAGGGGGGTGATAGGCAGGCAGCAGGAACTGGAGGTTAAACAGAAGTGCACAACTGAAGTAACGTGTTGCTGGCCCCTCTCCCTTTTCCATCCCCTCCAGCCGTGTGCTACTAATACTAACTGACCCTGTCCGGTGTCCCCTGGTCATGCTCCCAGTCCCCCTGGGGCAGATGATGGAGTTCTGATTTTCCAGAATGCCTGCAAGGAGATCTACAGACCCCATGCCGGGCAATTCAGGGGGAATGAGCTCATGTGGTCCAACCCAGCACTGCCCTGAGACGTGCCAGACTTGGAGGGGGGGTTAAAGGAGAAGACAACACAGCTGGAGCAGACTGCAGAGGACAGGCTTCCGGCCACCAGATCCTGGGAAAGGGCTGGCTGACGGCAAGAGCTTCATGGATACCCAATGGCTCCTTGAGCTGAACCAGCCCTGGGGGACTATTATTCACTGCTAGCCTGTGAGCCCAGTTAGGGCGCTCAGGAAGCGGTGGCTCCACCTTGCCAATGGAAGAGCTGCTTTGGGGTCGTTGACCACCCCTTTCAGAACCGCTCATCAGTGGCTTGGCCAGAGGGGCTCTTATGACCACAGCAGCAGGGCAGAGCTTTTGAATGTGGCCAACCAAAGGCCTTGCCCTGGCCCCTCAGGGCATTCTGGGAGAGGAACATGGTAACAGTGCCGCTGTGCTTTCTGCTTTCCCCTCAACCGGTGCACCAGGCCATTTCCCCTCCCTATCCCTGGGGGGCTGTACACACGGCTGTTCCCTCTCTGGGATGGCAGGCTGGTCTCCCCTGTGCTGGGGCCCTGCTGAGGTGGAAGAGCGACATGGGGCTGGGCCAGGCTTGCTCTGAGGGGGGAAGTATGGCACCAGGGAGGGACTCTGCCCTGCTGTGTGGCTGGAAGCAGGGGCCTGGCAGAGGGCCACAAGACGGGTTTATAGAAAATGCCATAAACGAAGGGAGACAAGTTCTCTCTAATGTATTTTATTGTCAGTTTCTAAATGGCCCAAAGGGCTGGTCCCTGCTCGATGCCCCAGAGGAAGGCGAAAAACCCCCAGGGTCTCTGGCCAATCTGCCCTGGAGGAAAATTCCTTCCTGACCCCAAACATGGCGATCAGTTTCACCCTGTGCATGCGAGCCAGGACCACAGTGGGGAAAGGACCCACTGGTCACTGTGGTTACACACCCTGTCCCAGGCCCCTCCAGGATATTGTCTGTGTCCCAGTACTAACCAGTGGCTAGTGCTTTCTTCTTTGCTTCCATCCCAGCAGATGGGACCAGCTGCTCCCCTTAGCCCAAGAGGTGACCCCAGGCAACTTTTGAACATTATTTCTTGAATACTGACCACACTGGCTGTGTTTCTTTCATCTGAAAGTCTAACCAAAGCCACGGATGTCACTCAGAAGTGACAAGCAGGTTCATCACCTCCTGATAAAGATGAATCCCCTGAGGTCTGCCATTCCCCTGAGCTCCTCTTTGATGCTGAGATGTGTGATCAGCTGTAACAAACCCTTTGACACAACATAAGTTAGCAACTTTGTAGAGTTGATTGTATGCTCATTTGGTAGACTTACCAAATGCTGCCTACCTCTCCTCAGAGCCTGTACTGTTGCTTTATTGAATGAAGGGTCTTTTTCATGGTTTCATATCTTAGGAGCTCCAATTGTCCTTTCAGGTGTTGGATCTATTCAGCTCCATTCCTATTCCTTTGTGCTCAAATCCTGAGTATGTGTAAATCTTCTCCTGAAAAGACAAATCAGCTTCACAAGCTAGTTCCTGCAAAGCACAGCTGTGGCTGTAGAGATCAGCATTTGACAGGTAACTTGTTTGCTTATTATCAGTTTTACCGGCCCATAAATGTACACGATGCGTCATGATCTGCTCCTTTTGCAATAAGAGAATCCTAAGCGCTCACCTCTGTCAGTGACAGTCTCCTGCATTGTGGGTTTGAAACATGACGGTGATAAGGGATTGTCTTCCCATTCTAGTCAAGGAAGGCAACTTTTTTCCCCTCTCTGCAGGTCTGGGAACATGTGTTCCTGTATTCTTCAGTAACATGACTGCTTATAGTCCTCAACCCCTGGGAGATCAGATCAGCTGCATTTCTTTCACCTGAAGGGAAACCAGATCCATTAATTTCTCCATTATGAGGTGAGTTCCTTACCTCTTGGCAGCAGTGATGAGTTTCACTGGTTTCCTTCCTGCAGATATCTCAGATCTTCTCGCAACTTCCTGAAGTTTTCACACCCTCAAAGTTCAAATCAGCTGCATTTCTCTCATCTGAAAGTATCACAGGATCTATTCATTTCCACCTGAATGTTAAAGGAATGTGCTTTTTTCCTTCCCAACTGACATGCCTGGTTCAGCTAGTTGCATTTGCAGTAATCCCTACAAGAGCACAACAGCCCTCTGGTCATCTTCCATCTGGAGATGTGCGATGTGTGACCTATTTATTTGGTCTGTAAGTGTTGTTGCTTTTGCATGAGGTTCAAAATTATGACAACCAGGGAAAATTAAATGCTTACCTCCATGTCTGTGTTCTGCTGACTTGCCTCATATTCAGATTTGCAACTAGCTGAACTATTTGAAGTGATTGCTTGTTTTCTGTTTGTTGTTCCTTGAAATAACAACGTCTTCTCATTGGAGTCCTCCATGGATTGAGCAGCTGGCAAGTGCATGTTGCTTTGTCTTGCCTCTGCTTTTCACACTCTCCCCATGACAAGTAAGGTCCACCACAGTTCTTCTCCCTGAAAGTAAACTCCACACCACTTGATATACACATGGATGTTTGGAGACTGGTATTTCTTACCTCCTTGCCCGGGACAGCCACTTACCCTCACTTCTCCCTGGTAGGAATGGCCACCTGGTCTGTTCATATCTCCAATTAGCAAAACCTGACAATTATTTATTATTATTCATTACCAGTTATGAAGAGTCATCAATAGAAACGGTTCCTTAGCATCCAGATCGTTAGGCTTCTACAGACTTTCCAGTGCTCACCTACTTGTCAGTGATGTTTCACCCCAAGGCTTTGATTCTTCGAGGTACAGCCAGCTACACTGGCTACAACCTGAAGCGTATAATTGGCCGCTTTCCTCTTTCTGAGCTAGAAGTAAAAGATTCTTTTCTTCCCCCTGGCCAGGTAGTGTTACCTGTCTATTAAATTCAGCAACCTCTTATCTTCTCTTCTCCCCCCTTAATGGTCAGACCTTCATTTCACCTGAAAATAGAAATAGAGCCAGCTATTCCTACCCCTGTGCTGAGAGGAGGTGCGTTCCTTACCTCTTGATAGAAATGATCAATTCCCCTGACTTCTTCTTCACATTTGATAAATAAGCAACAATGATCAATTCTTCACAAAGAGAATCAGCTGGACAACTCATCTCTGCAAATGTAAGAGCAGGATAAATGCTCATCTTCACACTCTGGTTAGTTGCACATTTTCTGTGATACATCCTTGTCGGAACAACCAACCATTAGCCAGGAAGGAGAAAAGAGCAGATGTCATGATCATCGGTTAGAATTACCGACTTTCCTTACCTCTGAACAGGTAACTCCCACTTTTTTATTGCTTTATTCAGGACAGCAACTTCTTCTGCCCTTTCGAGAGGTGACTATTTCATCAGTTACATTTCTTCCACCTGAAAGTATGACCAGAACCATTGACTGTTTGTTTGGGCAATGGCGTATTGTATTTCTTACCTCCTTAAAGGGATGGATCCGCTAATTCCTTCCTGTATCCTACAGCCATCTGTCATCCTTGCATCTCAAAATATGACCTGCTGCAAAGATCAATGTTTGACAGAGTATTTTTGTCAGAGAACAAATGGCTGTACTGCTTTATCCTTTTTCTCTCCTTACAATCAGCTGTTTTCTTACCAATCTCGTAGGTATAAGTGGCTTCCTTAGTCACGTTCCCTTCTTTAGCAATGGAAGCAGGTTGGTCCGAGAAGTTCCAACTCTATCACCCCGGTCCCTGTACTCAGACCAACAGGCAGCAGCCATGTGCTCTGGGCGACATCCTGGTGTGAAATGCTGCAGCCCCTGGTGACCGACCCAACAATCACTGCATCACAACAGTCGCATTTCATTGTCACCACCTCCTCATCTGGGCAAAGTGACTTGCCCCCCATCCCACCAGGGGAGCTGTAGGGGGAAGGCTCTGGCTGGCTCTGAACTCTCAAATGAGTCAAATTACACTTTAGATCTAGAGTCACCAGCTGGGGCTCTGTCTGTGACAGTGAGTTCCAGGGTCAAGAACGGCTCCTTTCCCTGTGACATGGATGGAGTGGGACTTACGCAGCCCTCACCTATGAAAGCTTACGTCCTAGTTCCCTTCCCCTGCCTGTCTCCACCTCTGGGTTTGTCTCGGTCACCACCCCTCCGGTGAAATGTTCCACTCCCATCAGAATGGGCGAATTCTGAGCAGGGCTGAGTTCCTGCATCTCCCTCGGGAACCAGTGGTAGCTGCAGGTGCCCAGCCCCTCTCAGGACTAACCCTGTTGGCTGCATTTCATGGCACTGTGCTGTGCCCTCCATCTTGTGGTCTAGGCCGATCGCTGCAAACCCACCAGGGGACTGACAGCCAGCGCCTCCTGTACAGGGGAATCCAGGCAGGGGTTTCAGTGTTAGCTGGAGATGGGCAGATACCAGACCCATCACTCCACCCTTCCATGATCACTGGGGGCTCTGATAAAAGGACACCTGTTATTGGCTGTGTGGGCCCATTACCTTGTCCTGGCTCTGGCCAGGTAGCTGGCCCAGCAGACCTCAGTCAAACTGCCCGAAAGACCACAGACTCGTTTGGTGGCAAAGGCGTTTGGCCAGGTTTGTTGTCGACAAAGCACTTGTACTCGCACCCCATAGACTCTGCGTGGACACTGGGACACGGACGCCCATGAGAATGGAACAGCTCAGTCAGCAGTGGGACTTTCCACTGCCCCCTTGGCCAGATGTGCCTTCCAAGACCCCTCTTTTATACACTGATACAGACAAGTTGTGTATTACCCCTCTCACGTGGTTAGGTACCATCCTGTAGCTGTGGGTTTGAACCCTAGGAGGGGTCAGTGTGTCCCTGTAAGATCTTTGGGGAGTGACTCTCCTGAAGCGGGGGAAGGGAGTGCTGACACAGCCCATGCAGCAGGGAAGCTGTAGCAACAAGCAGGCTGTGGAGCGGAGGCTCTGGAGGACTCGGCAGCACAAATGGCATTTGTAGCCACGGCTGGTGGTGCCTCTTGTAGGGGGAGAGGCAGAGAAGTGATGGGCTTTCCCTGTGCTAATTCAGGAAGGAGCAGTGAGTGCCCAGTAAAAAGGGCTGTTAGCTGAATTTCCCAAAATCATGTCTCTGAAAAACCAGCTCTCTCCTGTCTCCAGAGGACACTGCTTAATACTTTTGAAGATTTAGGGTTCATGCAAAGGGGTTCCCTGACCCAGGCAGAGCTCAGAGCTCCGTGTGTGTGGTGGGGTGGGGGACATGGGGACCCAGGTGGAGCCTCCAGGGCCAAGGCGAAAGCAGTGATCCTTTGCAGAAGGGGAAATGGGACACGCTTTTTATGGTTCCCGTAGTGAGGGCGGGAGGTGCCCCAGGAGCACTGGAGGCTGCAGGCTGGAGGTACCGATGGTTCAGCGACAGAAGGAGCAGCTGTCTGCAAGACATCAGGCCACTGGGGAGGAGAGGGGTGGCCTGAACCTGACGGTCAGGAACTTGAGGCAGAGCTGGAGACACTGTGTGCAGAGACCTCGAAACCCTGCAGAAGATGAAACTCTTTCGACTGACTGAGACGAAGCCTGGCGTTAAGGAGTGTTAATGAAGGGGGCAAGGCTGCACCCGGGCCTCTAAAGGGCAGAGGGCATTCCCGAGAGGGAGGGGCTGTGAGGAGGAACTGCCTGAGGGAGACTTAGGTAGGAAATGGCAGGAAGCATCTGCCAGAGTCCCCGGAGATGCAGAAAGTGAGCTGAGAAACTGTCTTGATTTGTTCCACTTTGGGACTAAACTGCATCAGAGCCTGGGTGTGGCAGTGAGCCCTTGTCAAGCTGGGGAGAAGCCTGGCCGTGCGATGGTTCCCATTGTGTCCTCTGGAAGCAGCCTCATGTAGTCCTAGGTGTGACAGACGCTGCCTTCAATCTGATCTCCCCTCCCCTGCCGGGGTCTCCATCACTCTCCCCACACATGTGTCTCTGTCCCTGTGTCACTGGCCACACGCTGAGCTCCTGCATCTCCCTCTGAAACCAACATGGAGCTGCAGGTGTCCAGCCTCTGTGTCTGCCCTGTGCCTTTGTGCCGTCAGCCCCCCTCTGCTTTCTGTCTTGAGGTGTTTGACCCTGGCTAATGCTTGGGGCTGCAGTTTGTGTGGCAGCCTGATGCACAGTTAAGCTCTGCCCGTCTCCATGAAGGGAGGGAGCAGCTCTTTGTGTTGTCGGTGGGGCTGTGATCATCAACGCTGCAGAATGTGTCACATGTTGGGCTCTGGGGTTTTAACTGGTGGTTTTATAGCCCTGCAGCCAGCTCCTCCTAGGCAGGGCGTGTACAGACCATGGTGCCCTGTTAAGGCCAGGCTGAGATGGGCTAGAACCATCACTCCACCACTCCATGATCTCTGGGGGGTTACAATAAAATAACACCCTGATCTGACCTTCCTCCCTCCACCCTAGGTTTTGGTTCATTTTGCCAAATAGAAGCTGAAAAGCAAGACCACGGCCTGCCCCCATTTTGTTCTTCTCTACTGTTAGGTTCCCTCCTGCACTGCAGTTTGTGAGCCACACCTACAATTCCCATGGTATCTTAGCACAGGATATCGCATTCTCCCCCCAACCGCCTTCCCAAGGTACGAGTCACTCCTATTGACTTCACCTTGGAGACGCTGTTTCCCTGGAGGGAGAATCGGGCCCCAATGGCTTTCAGGACACGGGTTTATAAATGTTTTAGACCCCACAACAACGTTTTGGGCATTGCCTTGTTGTTTGGGTTCAGCGTGCGGCTGCAAAACTGATTGCTGGGGGGCAGGAAGTGGATGCAGGGGGGGGTGATAGGCAGGCAGCAGGAACTGGAGGTTAAACAGAAGTGCACAACTGAAGTAACGTGTTGCTGGCCCCTCTCCCTTTTCCATCCCCTCCAGCCGTGTGCTACTAATACTAACTGACCCTGTCCCGTGTCCCCGGGTCGTGCTCCCAGTCCCCCTGGGGCAGGTGATGGAGTTCTGATTCCCAGAATGCCTGCAATGAGATCAGCAAACCCCACGCTGGAAAATACAGAGGGAATGAGCTTGTGTGGGCCAAACCAACACTGCCCTGAGAGGTGCCAGACTTAGAGGGCGAGTTAAGGGAGAAGACAACATAACTGGAGCAGACTGCAGAGGACAGAGGCTTCCGGCCCCCAGATCCCGGGAAAGGGCTGGCTGAAGGCAAGAGCTTCGTGGATGTCCGATGGCTCCCTGAGCTGAACCAGTCCTGGGGGACTATTATTCACTGCTAGCCTGTGGGCCCAGTTAGGGTGCTCAGGAAGCGGTGGCTCCCCCTTGCCAATGGAAGAGCTGCTTTGGGGTCGTTGACCACCCCTTTCAGAACCGCTCATCAGTGGCTTGGCCAGAAGGGCTCTTTTGACCACAGCAGAGGGGCAGAGTGCTTGGATGTGGCCGACCAAAGGCCTTACCCTGGCCCCTCGGGGCATCCTGGGAGAGGAACGTGGTAACAGTACCGCTGTGCTTCCTGCTTTCCCCTCGACCGGTGCACCCGGCCATTTCCCCTCCCCATCCCGCGGGGGCCATGCACACGGCTGTTCCCTCTCTGGGATGGCAGGCTGGTCTCCCCTGTGCTGGGGCCCTGCTGAGGTGGAAGAGCGACATGGGGCTGGGCCAGGCTTGCTCTGAGGGGGGAAGTATGGCACCAGGGAGGGACTCTGCCCTGCTGTGTGGCTGGAAGCAGGGGCCTGGCAGAGGGCCACAAGACGGGTTTATAGAAAATGCCATAAACGAAGGGAGACAAGTTCTCTCTAATGTATTTTATTGTCAGTTTCTAAATGGCCCAAAGGGCTGGTCCCTGCTCGATGCCCCAGAGGAAGGCGAAAAACCTCCAGGGTCTCTGGCCAATCTGCCCTGGAGGAAAATTCCTTCCTGACCCCAAACATGGCGATCAGTTTCACCCTGTGCATGCGAGCCAGGACCACAGTGGGGAAAGGACCCACTGGTCACTGTGGTTACACACCCTGTCCCAGGCCCCTCCAGGATATTGTCTGTGTCCCAGTACTAACCAGTGGCTAGTGCTTTCTTCTTTGCTTCCATCCCAGCAGATGGGACCAGCTGCTCCCCTTAGCCCAAGAGGTGACCCCAGGCAACTTTTGAACATTATTTCTTGAATACTGACCACACTGGCTGTGTTTCTTTCATCTGAAAGTCTAACCAAAGCCACGGATGTCACTCAGAAGTGACAAGCAGGTTCATCACCTCCTGATAAAGATGAATCCCCTGAGGTCTGCCATTCCCCTGAGCTCCTCTTTGATGCTGAGATGTGTGATCAGCTGTAACAAACCCTTTGACACAACATAAGTTAGCAACTTTGTAGAGTTGATTGTATGCTCATTTGGTAGACTTACCAAATGCTGCCTACCTCTCCTCAGAGCCTGTACTGTTGCTTTATTGAATGAAGGGTCTTTTTCATGGTTTCATATCTTAGGAGCTCCAATTGTCCTTTCAGGTGTTGGATCTATTCAGCTCCATTCCTATTCCTTTGTGCTCAAATCCTGAGTATGTGTAAATCTTCTCCTGAAAAGACAAATCAGCTTCACAAGCTAGTTCCTGCAAAGCACAGCTGTGGCTGTAGAGATCAGCATTTGACAGGTAACTTGTTTGCTTATTATCAGTTTTACCGGCCCATAAATGTACACGATGCGTCATGATCTGCTCCTTTTGCAATAAGAGAATCCTAAGCGCTCACCTCTGTCAGTGACAGTCTCCTGCATTGTGGGTTTGAAACATGACGGTGATAAGGGATTGTCTTCCCATTCTAGTCAAGGAAGGCAACTTTTTTCCCTCTCTGCAGGTCCGGGAACATGTGTTCCTGTATTCTTCAGTAACATGACTGCTTATAGTCCTCAACCCCTGGGAGATCAGATCAGCTGCATTTCTTTCACCTGAAGGGAAACCAGATCCATTAATTTCTCCATTATGAGGTGAGTTCCTTACCTCTTGGCAGCAGTGATGAGTTTCACTGGTTTCCTTCCTGCAGATATCTCAGATCTTCTCGCAACTTCCTGAAGTTTTCACACCCTCAAAGTTCAAATCAGCTGCATTTCTCTCATCTGAAAGTATCACAGGATCTATTCATTTCCACCTGAATGTTAAAGGAATGTGCTTTTTTCCTTCCCAACTGACATGCCTGGTTCAGCTAGTTGCATTTGCAGTAATCCCTACAAGAGCACAACAGCCCTCTGGTCATCTTCCATCTGGAGATGTGCGATGTGTGACCTATTTATTTGGTCTGTAAGTGTTGTTGCTTTTGCATGAGGTTCAAAATTATGACAACCAGGGAAAATTAAATGCTTACCTCCATGTCTGTGTTCTGCTGACTTGCCTCATATTCAGATTTGCAACTAGCTGAACTATTTGAAGTGATTGCTTGTTTTCTGTTTGTTGTTCCTTGAAATAACAACGTCTTCTCATTGGAGTCCTCCATGGATTGAGCAGCTGGCAAGTGCATGTTGCTTTGTCTTGCCTCTGCTTTTCACACTCTCCCCATGACAAGTAAGGTCCACCACAGTTCTTCTCCCTGAAAGTAAACTCCACACCACTTGATATACACATGGATGTTTGGAGACTGGTATTTCTTACCTCCTTGCCCGGGACAGCCACTTACCCTCACTTCTCCCTGGTAGGAATGGCCACCTGGTCTGTTCATATCTCCAATTAGCAAAACCTGACAATTATTTATTATTATTCATTACCAGTTATGAAGAGTCGTCAATAGAAACGGTTCCTTAGCATCCAGATCGTTAGGCTTCTACAGACTTTCCAGTGCTCACCTACTTGTCAGTGATGTTTCACCCCAAGGCTTTGATTCTTCGAGGTACAGCCAGCTACACTGGCTACAACCTGAAGCGTATAATTGGCTGCTTTCCTCTTTCTGAGCTAGAAGTAAAAGATTCTTTTCTTCCCCCTGGCCAGGTAGTGTTACCTGTCTATTAAATTCAGCAACCTCTTATCTTCTCTTCTCCCCCCTTAATGGTCAGACCTTCATTTCACCTGAAAATAGAAATAGAGCCAGCTATTCCTACCCCTGTGCTGAGAGGAGGTGCGTTCCTTACCTCTTGATAGAAATGATCAATTCCCCTGACTTCTTCTTCACATTTGATAAATAAGCAACAATGATCAATTCTTCACAAAGAGAATCAGCTGGACAACTCATCTCTGCAAATGTAAGAGCAGGATAAATGCTCATCTTCACACTCTGGTTAGTTGCACATTTTCTGTGATACATCCTTGTCGGAACAACCAACCATTAGCCAGGAAGGAGAAAAGAGCAGATGTCATGATCATCGGTTAGAATTACCGACTTTCCTTACCTCTGAACAGGTAACTCCCACTTTTTTATTGCTTTATTCAGGACAGCAACTTCTTCTGCCCTTTCGAGAGGTGACTATTTCATCAGTTACATTTCTTCCACCTGAAAGTATGACCAGAACCATTGACTGTTTGTTTGGGCAATGGCGTATTGTATTTCTTACCTCCTTAAAGGGATGGATCCGCTAATTCCTTCCTGTATCCTACAGCCATCTGTCATCCTTGCATCTCAAAATATGACCTGCTGCAAAGATCAATGTTTGACAGAGTATTTTTGTCAGAGAACAAATGGCTGTACTGCTTTATCCTTTTTCTCTCCTTACAATCAGCTGTTTTCTTACCAATCTCGTAGGTATAAGTGGCTTCCTTAGTCACGTTCCCTTCTTTAGCAATGGAAGCAGGTTGGTCCGAGAAGTTCCAACTCTATCACCCCGGTCCCTGTACTCAGACCAACAGGCAGCAGCCATGTGCTCTGGGCGACATCCTGGTGTGAAATGCTGCAGCCCCTGGTGACCGACCCAACAATCACTGCATCACAACAGTCGCATTTCATTGTCACCACCTCCTCATCTGGGCAAAGTGACTTGCCCCCCATCCCACCAGGGGAGCTGTAGGGGGAAGGCTCTGGCTGGCTCTGAACTCTCAAATGAGTCAAATTACACTTTAGATCTAGAGTCACCAGCTGGGGCTCTGTCTGTGACAGTGAGTTCCAGGGTCAAGAACGGCTCCTTTCCCTGTGACATGGATGGAGTGGGACTTACGCAGCCCTCACCTATGAAAGCTTACGTCCTAGTTCCCTTCCCCTGCCTGTCTCCACCTCTGGGTTTGTCTCGGTCACCACCCCTCTGGTGAAATGTTCCACTCCCATCAGAATGGGCGAATTCTGAGCAGGGCTGAGTTCCTGCATCTCTCTCGGGAACCAGTGGTAGCCGTGTGCTACTAATACTTACTGACCCTGTCCCGTGTCCCCGGGTCGTACTCCCAGTCCCCCTGGGGCAGATGATGGAGTTCTGATTTCCCAGAATGCCTGCAAGGAGATCTACAGACCCCACGCTGGGCAATACAGGGGGAATGAGCTCGTGTGGGCCAACCCAGCACTGCCCTGAGAGGTGCCAGACTTGGAGGTGGGGTTAAAGGAGAAGACAGCACAGCTGGAGCAGACTGCAGAGGACAGAGAGCGACATGGAGGGCCATGCTGGCTCTGATGGGGAGGAGCAGTGCACCGGAGAGGGACTCTGCCCTGCTGTGTGGCTGGGAGCAGGGGCCTGGCAGAGGGGCACAGGACGGGTTTATAGAAAATGCAAAAAACGAAGGGAGGCAAGATCTCTCTAATGGATTTTATTGTCAGTTTCTAAATGGCCCAAAGGGCTGGTCCCTGCTCAATGCCCCAGCGGAAGGCGAAAAACCTCCAGGGTCTCTGGCCAATCTGCCCTGGAGGAAAATTCCTTCCTGACCCCAAACATGGCGATCAGTTTCACCCTGTGCATGCAAGCCAGGACCACAGTGGGGAAAGGACCCAGTGGGCACTATGGTTACACACCCTGTCCCAGGCCCCTCCAGGGGATTGTCTGTGTCCCAGTACTAACCAGTGGCCAGTTCTCTCTTCTTTGCTTCCATCCTGGTAGATGGGACCAGTCGTTCCCCTTAGCCCAAGAGGTGACCCCAGGCACCTCTTGAACATTATTTCTTGAATATTGACCACACTGGCTGTGTTTCCTTCATCTGAAAGTCTAACCAAAGCCATTGACCCCAAGCAGGTTCCTGAGATGTGTGATCAGCTGTAACAAACTCTTTGACACAACATAAGTTAGCAACTTTGTAGAGCTGATTATATGCTCATTTCGTAGACTTACCAAATGCTTCTTACCTCTCCTCAGAGCCAATTCTGTTGCTTTATTGAATGAAGGGTCTTTTTCATGGTTTCATATCTTGAGATCCAATTGTCCTTTCAGGTGTTGGATCTGTTCAGCTCCATTCCTATTGTTGTACCAATAAAATAAAAACCAGCAGGATCTTATTAAAGGGAAAAAGGCAAAATACCACATTTATTGTGAATACAGAAAGAATCATAGTAAGCAGTTAGTTCTAGTTATAACATTCCATTCAATCTCATATTTATTCACACATTCATTCATACAAACACACACATACACACACACACACACACACACAGGTTCTGCAAGGTTGTTATCATAGTTACCAGCCTTAGAGTTGCTCATGCGAAGCCACTGGCCAGGTGGCCTGGACATGAGGAGGGAGCAGGGCCTTGTCAGATGCTCATCTGATGCTCCTGGAAGTTGGTTTGCAGAATCAGACCCCAAAGTTCTCACTTTTTAGAGTCTATTTTTATAGGAATTTCTTCCTATGCCAGTCTATGGGAATTGCTTCATCATGCTGTTGCTGAATCAATCAGCAGATAGCACATTCCTGACGGCTCCAAGATGTTATCTTGTTCTTTGGTTCTCCCATCCTTGAGGCTGTTGGGTGGATTCCAGTCTGCCCTCCGGGGGGTCCTCTGGTTATTTCCACTTGACGCCTTCTTCAGCCGATGGACACTGGATTCTTAGGCTGGCACCTCCCTGATCATTCAGTTATTATCCACACCAAGCATCCATCCACATACATCCTCTATCTCTATTTTAATCACAATTGTTAATACAACAAAAGGGCGGGGAGTCTCTGGGTGCTGTTTCTGTTGTTAGAGTATTGCGTTGAGTCTCTCTCTCTGTGAATTGCTTTGAGAACAGACTCTGTCTTGGAATGTACTAACACAATTAGCAGCTTGCAAGTTTCACACATAGAGGGAGAGAAACAGTACCAAAAACCAAGAGAGCTCTTAATTAGTAATACCCTGGAATTTAAACTATGGGGAATCAAACTCATTTGTGATTTTAATACAGAACTTCTTTAATATGATCCAACACTATTCCTTTGTGCTCAAATCCTGAGTGTCTGTAACTCTTCTCCTGAAAAGACAAATCAGCTTCACAAACCAGTTCCTGCAGAGCACAGCTGTGGCTGTAGAGATCAGCATTTCACAGGTAACTTGTTTGCTTATTATCAGTTTTACAGGCCCAAAAATGTACACGATGTGTCATAATCTGCTCCATTTAGCAATAAGAGAATCCTAAGCGGTCACCTCTGTCCGTGACGGTCTCCTGCATTGTGGGTTTGAAACTTGACTGTGTTAAGGGATTGTCTTCCCATTCTAGTCAAGGAAGGCAAGTTTTTTCCCTCTCTGCCGGTCTGGGAACAGGTGTTCCTGTATTCTTCAGTAACATGACTGCTTATAGTCCTCAACCCCTGGGAGATCAGATCAGCTGCATTTCTTTCACCTGAAGGGAAACCAGATCCATTAATTTCTCCATTATGAGGTGAGTTCCTTACCTCTTGGCAGCAGTGATGAGTTTCACTGGTTTCCTTCCTGCAGATATCTCAGATCTTCTCGCAACTTCCTGAAGTTTTCACACCCTCAAAGTTCAGATCAGCTGCATTTCTCTCATCTGAAAGTATAACAGGATCTATTCATTTCCACTTGCATGTTAAAGAAATGTGTTTTTTTCCTTCCCAACTGACATGGCTGGTTCAGCTAGTTGCATTTGCATTAATCCCTACAAGAGCACAACAGCCCTCTGGTCTTCTTCCCTCTGGAGATGTGCGATGTGTGACCTATTTATTTGGTCTGTAAGTGTTGCTTTAGCATGAGGTTCATTTGACATTCAGGGAAACTTCAGTGCTTACCTCCATGTCTGTGTTCTGCTGACTTGCTTCCTATTCAGATTTGCAACTAGCTGATCTATTTGAAGTGACTGTTTTCTGTTTGTTTTTCCTCGAAATAACAGCGTCTTCTCATTGGAGTCCTCCATGGATTGAGCAGCTGGCAAGTCCATGTTGCTTTGTCTTGACTCTGCTTTTCATACTCTCCCCATGACAAGTAAGGTCCACCACAGTTCTTCTCCCTGAAAGTAAACTCCACACCACTTGATATACACATGGATGTTTGGAGACTGGTATTGCTTTCCTCCTTGCCCAGGACAGCCACTTACCCTCACTTCTCCCTGGTAGGAATGGCCACCTGGTCTGTTCACATCTCCAGTTAGCAAAACCTGACAATTTATTATTACTCATTATCAGTTATGAAGAGTCATCAATATAAACAGTTCCTTAGCATCCAGATCATTAGGCTTCTACAGACTTTTCCATGCTCACCTACTTGTCAATGATGTTCCACCGCAAGGCTTTGATTCTTAGAGTTACAGCCAGCTACACTGGTTACAACTTTAAGCGTATAATTGCCTGCTTTCCTCTTTCTGAGCTAGAAGTAAAAGATATCGTTACCTGTCTGACTATTATTAAATTCAACAACCTCTTATCTTCCCCCGCCCCCTTAATGGTCAGACCTTCATTCACCTGAAAATAGAAATAGAGCCAGTTATTCCTGCCCCTGTGCTGAGAGGAGGTGCGTTCCTTACCTCTTGATAGAAATGATCAATTCCACTGACTTCTTCTTCACATTTGATAAATAAGCAACAATGATCAATTCTGCACAAAGAGAATCAGCTGGACAATTCTTCTCTGCAAATAAAAGAGCAGGTTAAATGGTCATCTTCACACTGTGGTAAGTTGCACTTTTTCTGTGATACATCCTTGTCGGAACAACCAACCATTAGCCGGGAAGGGGAAAGGAGCAGATGTTGTGATCATCAGTTAGAATGACCGACTTTCCTTACCTCTGAACAGGTAACTCCCTCTTTTTTATTGCTTTATTCAGTACAGCAACTTATTGTGATCTTTCGAGAGGTGACGATTTCATCCTTTACATTTCTTCCACCTGAAAGTATGACCAGAACCATTGACTGTTTGTTTGGGCAACGGTGTATTGTATTTTCTTACCACCTTTAAAAGGATGGATCCGCTAATTCCTACGGTGGAATGTTCCACTCCCATCACAGTGGGCCAATGCTGAGCAGGGCTGAGTTCCTGCATCTCCCTTGGGAACCAGTGGGAGCTGCAGTGCCCAGCCCCTCTCAGGACTAACCCTGTTGGCTGCATTTCATGGCACCGTGCTGTGCCCTCCATCTTGTGGTCTAGGCCGATCGCTGCAGACCCACCAGGGGACTGACAGCCAGCGCCTCCTGTACAGGGGAATCCAGGCAGGGGTTTCAGTGTTAGCTGGAGATGGGCAGATACCAGATCCATCACTCCACCCTTCCATGGTCACTGGGGGCTCTGATAAAAGGGCACCTGTTATTGGCTGTGTGAACCCAGACGTTGTCCTGGCTCTGGCCAGGTAGCTGGCCCAGCAGACCTCAGTCAAACTGCCCAAAGACCACAGACTCATTCGGTGGCAAAGGCGCTTGGCCAGGTTTGTCGACAAAGCACTTGTACTTGCACCCCATAGACTCTGCGTGGACAGTAGCTGTTGGGGACACTGGGGCATGGCCACGAGGTAACTCGAGGGGATGGAAGACCACGAGTGTCGATGAAGCCCCCTCGCACTAGGCCCAAGTGTCCTTGGCCCCCCCGCCTGTAGGCACACACAGCAGTTATGCTGAGAATCTGCAACAATATACTGCAG